ACAATTTGACCCTGTATATCCGACAGCGCATTCACATTTATACGTGCCGATGCCGGGTGTACACTTGTATCTACTGCCTCCGACGTCGGGACATGGATTCAACGTAACACAGAGGTCCTCGACTGAATTAGATCACTGTAGCAGAAGGAAGTATAATTAAATTTCTTAAAGTAATTTTGTTTATACGAACCATCGGTGGTTCGATTGGAAAACAAAGAGGGCCGTATCGAAATTTGCATGGTGGAATGCAAAACTTTCTGAGAACGTGACAAGTATGATGCTAACTAGTAAACCTTCTTGTTAACCTTCTTTTTAACTGTCATCTTCCCTAGAAAATCAATTCTCTACCAGCAAGGTGAAGATAGCTGTCATCTATCATCCTTTTCTTTACCTGGTCACACACTCAACATGAATAGCCTCGACTCATAGATATCTTGGAATCCGTAGGAGAGAGACCCAATCAGGAATAAAGTATAACTCGTACTACAAATAACCCTTCTCTCATTAAAAGTTACAGATTTTTTTAAACCTTTTTTTTTCAGGTTCTACACTAAATGGAATACCAGTTTCAATATCTTGATCCGCAAGCTTCATTTATACTACGGTCCAGTGATTCAACCACAAGGCACATGGAAGAGAGTGGGACTAACGTAAATGAAACTTTCTAGAAAAAACCCTACGAGTTTATCAACCAGAAAGTACAAAAAACAATCGCCTTTCAGGTAATTCACCCCTTCTTTTTCGAGCTCATTACGCTGTCCGCCACATTCTTGCCAACTGAATGTTTCTAGGACCCTTAAGTGAATACCTGCCACCTTTATTGATTGGAGATAAAGACAGATATGATTTTTTATAAGGCTGTTACTACTGTTCTGTGCGGAGCAATGTATCCGGCTGCCTCTCTACAACAGGGATCCAGACGCCTGGAAACAACCAAACCGTTTAGTATATCCAGTAACTCTTACTACCTACTCTTGGAATATATCCATTGGTACCTGGCTGCCCATTGTCAATGAGGATCTCAAATATTTAGTAGAGGAAAGTATTTCACTATATCGAAAACAGTTATGCCCGAGGTTTCGGTGGGTGTCAACAGCACCCGCCGAAGACATAAACACCGGTTACCTTTGATCAGGCCAAAATCAGCCTGATTTTTCAAGATAACGTCTTTCTTTCGAGAACGCTTCCATAATAGATTTCCGAAAACGTACCTATACTACATGCAGGACCACTAGTTCCGTTGTTACAAACGCAGTCAGCAGTTGCACATGTGTAATAGTATTCATCGTAGAAAAAAGAATTTACCATCACTTCAACAGGATTAGCACAAAGACCAAAGTTTTCACATCCATGTGGTGGATATGTGGGATTTTCTATGTAGGTTTGCTGGTGCGAAATTTGAACAACCAGCACCAAAGAGAAAATGATCATCATAGCGCCATTGTGTGTAGAGGGCTTTACTAAAATATGGATGTAATCTAAAGCTAGTAAGAGGTGGACGAAAAAAAAATGAAAGAAATAATCGAAGGATGACTGGAATTCGAAGGGCTAAGGGAAACTAATACAAAAATGGTGAGAAGAAGCCAGCGAGGTTGCTTGGTTTCCTCAGTTAAGATTAGGTAAATGACTGAAGTAAGCCCAATTACGAATTGTTCCATAACTGTACGATCTTTCCATCTTTTTCAATTCGAAAAACAGGAGAAAAAACACTTCCCTATGGAAATTACATGATAACTTGGACATATACTGACATATGTGCTATCTAATTACTCGGCTAAAGAAATAGAACTAAGGCATTGCAGAAACTTCGCGAAACAGGTAATCCCACGAGTTTTGAAAAAAAAAATGACAAATACGCGATGAAGCCAAGGAATTACGGCAGCCTTGAAAGTTTTGTCTTTCATTTCTCTTTTTCAGTCGTTGTCCCATTGTCTTCCGCCTAGCAACACCACCTCTTCCTCATAGTGACCGCAGGCTGGCCAGATTTCAATAACAACACACACGAAAAGACTTAACTACTTCATTTTTTTCGAATACTTAATTACCTTCTAACCAATTATTTGCCATCACTGATATTTTGTATCATTTCCTTCATGCAGACCACTCAAGGATGGAATTGAAAACTCCAACAAAGACTCACAGAAACAGTAAATTACAACCGACCTTAATCTGGAACATTACAGCCACGTGCACATTGACACCTGTCCAGGAAACCCTTTAATACTGATTATCTGCCCCTGCGGCAGCTTCGCCATGCTTGTATACTATCCAAGCCTAAAGTCTAAACCTTAGCTGTCAACTTATACAAATTGATTGGAACCGGAATGATACCTAAAACCAGGGAAATGTTTGATAAGAAAGAGACAAACATGCACATTTATTGTATACTTACATACCTACAATTTGTAACAGCACCTTATACGCGATAAACCTGACATGTTTTCAATTCCATAACGAAGTCGAAGATTCTTTATCAATATGTGTATACAAAACACTTAGAAGTGTATTTGCTATGCAAACGAGTAGTAAAACACTCATTGTGGATCACATTGTAACAAAAAAATCTCTTTGAGTAAAAAATCAAGTGAGTTTACACGTATCATCACTGTAGTGTATTAAAACTAGGCAGACTATGAATCAGGATAAATAAAGCAAGAATCAAGTAGTGAGAAGTAGGTACAGGAGTCAACAGAGTGAGCGCCAAGTCATAAGTATATTATGCTGCCTGATGCTTATAATAAAATCGAGATGAATTCTATCTAGAAAAAGGTTTTCTGCGTACTTGATAAGTCCAGTTTCTTTAACATCATGCTTTCTCCATGGTGGGTCAGATGAAACTCGCATCTCGTCTGCATCCAAGCTTCACCATCACTGAAGAGAATAAATGAAACTATCCGAACTACGGATTCTTTGTAGACAACAGGTAATGAAAGACAATTAATCGATAGAAATCCAGTTTGAAAGTAATGTCTTTTTATAATACATTATTTTTGTGTATATGTAGGACGTAGGAAACCTCGCACAGCTTCCCTACAGCTGCACGACGTAACCCATCCTCCAGACATCCCAGCAGCTAAATTATCAGTGTGTGCTGCGAATTTACGGCCAAAATAATGGAGTGGCTGCTTTCATACTTCGGCTTGTGTGCGGGCACGCAGTTGGAGACGCCCGTACATTTAGAAAGCGGCGTGCGAGCGGCTATGCGACGGCGGCCCTATCCAAGCGTGTGACAGCAGCAGGTACCGATCGATACCGCAAATAGAGGATGGCTGNCAGCCATCCTCTATTTGCGGTATCGATCGGTACCTGCTGCTGTCACACGCTTGGATAGGGCCGCCGTCGCATAGCCGCTTGGACGCTGCTTTCTAAATGTACGGGCGTCTACAACTGCGTACCGGCGCGCACGTCGAAGTATGAAAGCAGCCAGTCACGTTGCACTAGCGACCTGAGACCCATTTACACCTACTGTGATGAGCATACAACAACATGACCATAGTGGTACTTCTAGTGGAGGGCTTGGTTTTCCTTCTGAGGCCTTAGGTCTTTTTTCTTTCAATTCTTCAGCCACTATGCAAGCTTGTTCTCCCTGGTATCAGTAATTGTTGCATTAAAACATGGCTTCCTCTAATCTCGTGTTGCGCGACACGCTGTGCGATGTGCCGTTATTATTTCGGCGATAGAATCGCACGTCCCCCAATTCTCATGGGCGCGTGTGATAGAACCAGGTGGCACAGTGTTTTTTCACGACTACTTCACTGTGTTGAAGCAAAGTCATGCAACATGAGCCCTCGTAAGCTCAATCGCTGATTAAAAATTTCATAAGTTTCTATTTCCACTGCAAGCATGACTGACGAGTTATATAATGGGCCTTCTTCGGTAAATGGTATAGGGGTTCAGAAATCTGCTTATTTTGAAATGTGCAGTGCCGGCCAAGCTTTGCGAAGGAAAACCAAGAAGTTTCAAGACTCTCCTGAAGTACTATTATGCGTCTCTATCACGTGGAGCCACGGAAAAATTGTCAGAAATAAGCGCAGCTAGTTTCTAATACTCACGTCATTTCTATACTTTTGTTTTCGAATGCAAACTAGAGCGCACTATATCAATAAATTACTCTAAACAAAAGCGAAACGATCCTGTCTTTCAGAAACCAAAGACATTGAGCTCCTTAACGAAGCATGTCCGAATCTAGCCTGATCTCGTTTCACAGGAATTTCTCCAAAAAAAACCAACGTAAGAGTATGAGTATGTATTTGTCATAAAGAAAGAAAATGTACCATTGCATCGGAAGAACTGATCCATTTTTCGTCACAACCACGGCTTTTTTCGCCTGCCCAATGAACAGCGGTGAAGCCAGGCCGACCTAGAAAACATCAAATTGGAAAAAGAAAGAGAACGGCGCAAAATGCGTCATCGGGCTGATTATACATGTTTAACAGCAGGAAACAGCTTTGCAAGAACTAAAACAAAAAGGTCCGATCACGGCACCTGCATTTGAGCGATGTGAAACGAAGACGTCACTGCGAATACTTCAAACACCTCGTCATCTATCTTCTGTGGCAATTCTTCATCCGCGTGTTTCCACGGCTAGAACAAATTCCTAGTTCCCAACACGTGTCTATCAGAATCATTAAAAAACTAAAAACCAAAAGGAGTAAAAAAAANAAAAAAAACTACAATGCAACGAAGAGTACCTGTACACCAGCGCCCCAACATTGAATGTTGAGAAATACGATACCTTCGATCCCTGGTAGTTCAACTAATCTAAAACGGAAATGAGTACTTACTTGGAATACAACAGTAACAGGAGATGAAGTAAAAACACTTACTTGTCGTCTAAATAAAGTGAAATATTATCATGCAGTCCTTTGCAGGTTCGGGTGAACACATCCTTGGTACCGAACGAGAAAAAAAGAAATTTGTTAAGAAGCCTGAAATACTCTAGCTTAACACTATTAACAACGAACGAACATAACAAACGGAAATGATCATAAAAACAGAATAAATGGGGAAATATTGCTTCGAATTCCATGATGATTGGAAGGAGTCTGATAGCCACATAGGTATATCAGGTCACCTTGCAGAAAACCGAGGAAGAAATCAATCAAGTTGGTAAAAGGTTTAGTACCTGCTGCTCAGAACTTTCGGAATCGACTTTCTTGTAGTTTGCATACCAAATGTGACACTGGCATCTACTCCAATCGATACGTAGTTACTCATTTTCTTATTAGTAATGACAGTACGTCTCCCAAACTAAAAGAATTTAGTCAACTACACCAATAATCAATTTTTAAACCGCCTAGACATGCAAAGAACAGTAGACTCACTTGATTTTTCGACTTTATCATCACATTCCACCTATCCAACTTCTGTACGTCCGCAGCATAGACATCGTTCAAATACTACACACAGAAAATTGTGACTAATGCGGGGACATAATTATGTAACAGGTATAAAAAGGTTAAATTCTTAATACCTCTAGAATATTCAAATCACCATCTGTGCCACTACCCCATCCCAGTACTCTCGACAAATCATTTCCAGTTCCAAGTGGTAGAACAGCCATCTGAAAGACATTACTCAATAAATCGAAAAAAGCCGAAGTAATAACCATTTGAAAAGTATGAGCGCAGAAACAGCAAGGCTAGCCACAAGTTCTAGGTGCCGAATCATCGTGGTCCACAATATACCCAAAATATAATAGTACCAGAAATGATGATAGGTTAACCATTATACTTACCGGTGGTTTTCTATTGAACTGCTCGAGTGTTTCCAACACATTCGATATTGTTCCATCTCCACCAGCAACAACAAGTCTTACATCAATCTAGACGAGATGCAATGACGATGAAAACAGTGAAAAAAGAAGCCACAGATGATGAACTGCCAACTACCTCGGGATAGTCATCGATCCATTGTAGAGCAGCTTTCACATTTTCTTTCTGTACGTCTATAACCTGAAAAAATAGACCGTCAAGAATAAAACTTTTAGAGTCGTAATAATTCTGAAAAAGAAAGTGAAACTATAATTAATTACTGCCATTTACAGTGAATTTAAACGCAACTTTTCCAAGAAAACATTAAGCGTCAAAAAAAAAATGATGCTTTAACCCACCTGTCTTGGATGAAGATGACGAAGGAAGCTTCTATACACAACTTTTCCAGTACAAGAGCCACAAACGGTATTCACTAATGCAATTATAGGCTTGAAGTCTTTCTGTTCGGGTAAATCTAGCCGGTCAACAACCTGAGAACGACAATAAGAAAAGTACGATGGCCATAGTAAAGGATAGGCAATGACGAAAATTTCCATACCAATTTTTTTCCAGCTTTTCTAGTTGTAACGCTGTTGGGAGGGAAAGTGAATTTACCATACTGGCCAAAATCACACACATTAAATGACAGCTTCTTCATACAGGGAGAATGTATCACTCGCCAACACCTGAAATTTGAAAAAAAAAACGTATAGCAAGAATGAAACAGCAACACTGGTGTATTGAACTTAGAACAGAATTAGAAAATGAAACGCACAAACAACAAGCGTAATCCTGTAGGCTGACACCACCACCACACAGTTCATCACATATACAACAGAACTGATCCGAATCAATATTTCCTGGGATCTAAACATAAGGTAGAATTTTTAGATGCTTCAGTCGATTAGGCCCACCTCTTAAGTAATACAGCGATTTGAAATAAAATCCGGTATTTTAGATGAAAAACAAGCAAATAAACAATTCCGAATAACCAGTACTTCGAAAAGTGAGAGCAGCGTACTGCTCCAGTATTCACAACAACAATTGGCCAATGCCGGCATCACAAGTGTTAGGATCAATTTTGGCTGGTGCATTCATCACAACAAATAAACAAAACAAAAATCAAAGCTCCCAAAGATGTAATTTCACTGCCGATCAAGTATTAGGGACGCAACAATGGGTTCCCTTCATAAAGTGAATGAGGGTCTAGAATGTCGTAGAAAAATGAAGTCTTGAGTATGAAACAGGAGTGAAAATAGGGAATTAGTGAGGAATTGTAAATTTCTTACCCAATCGTGGTGAAACTGTCCATTATCGTCTGGTTTTTGTACAGTTTTACAGGTAATCCTAGCAGCAATACTACGAGCACAGGAAATCTGAAAAAAGCCATCGAGCATGCAAAAAAATGAGGGTGGTTTAGAAAAGTTCTCAAGAAAAAACAGCAAACTACCTCATCTACTTTGAGGGTACAATAATCACACTCATAACCAGAGAGCAAATGTGTTTTACAAGAGGCACAGAAGAATCCTCGATCGACATAATTGACTCGTGTCCAGTAATGACCACCTAAGCATACATATAGCAAGTAAGAAAACGAACACGAACATAAAGTAGAGAATCGCCCAGCTCTATGCAAAAAAAAGGAAAAATACTGATCTTAAATTACTACTCAAATTAACCTGAACCCCTTCCATATAGTGAATGAAGTTATGCTCCCAGTTCATATGAAAAATGTATTTCCTTCAGCAAGCCCTCAAAGTTTAACTTTTCCTGAGATAGGATCTCGCTGGGCTGCTTGCATAACATGGAAACAGCAAGAAACCTTAAGCGGCTGTGGACTTCCTTCGGTATAAAGGGGTCAGGAGATAATGACACACAAATGGTATGACATGACCCATGACCATGATGAAGACTCCGGGGTATTGGAGGTCGAGAGGGGAGTGAACTGAGGGTTCAAAACCTCCAGCCAAAGAAAAGCCGAATATCTACGTAGGTCAAATGGATTCGATCAAATCATGTAAATCTGAAAACATCCGAAGAAACCTTATACCTACTCCATAAATAGCCAATAGCTTCATCCATTCGAAGTTATTACCGTTAGGCAGCTAGCTAACAGCGTATTTTTCTAATACTTCTAACATTTATTCCCAGATTGGCTGTTTGTTTTTCTAGGAGCCATTTGTAGAACACATAAAGAGCATTCTATAAAAGTAGAGTAAAAAAATTACTTGTATTTTCCTTAAAAATAAGCCAATTACTTAACTGCCCGTTTTATATTTAAAAACAAAATCTGATTCCAGTTTAGCCAACATTAGGATAGCGGATTTTTTTAACTTTATTGAATTGCTACAGACATTCGAGAAGTATCATATCAGGTAGTGGATCATCCAGTATCTTTGTAATTTTGATAGAAGGAAGTATGAGTGATACAACTGCTAGCCATAGAGAAACTGTTCGAATTTTCGTGAACAAAATCCAATTTAAGAAAAAGCGAAAATATAATAAGACCCAAAGACCCAAGTTCAAAAAAAGAATGAAATTGAGATTACTTACTTTTGGCTGATATTGAATCATTGATAGATTTACGTTTACGTTCCTGTAACAGCTTTCGAAATACGTATATAACTACAGCAGTAACTTCTATGAATACTATGGCAACAGCTAATTCTTCATATAAATCCATTCTATGATTGCTAGAAGAAGTTACAGACAGACAGATGACGAGTCGATTTGTAGTCAAGAATCACATTTTATGACGCAGAAATGCATTATATGCCGTTGTACCTCAGACGACGACGAAAGACAGTGCCAATCGTGAAAAGGCAGGAATAAATCGCCGCACGCGTCACAAACGCGTCGCGACAGCCAGCTGATGGAGCGGCGCGAAAACCTGAAAGGAGCATGATAACTTCGAACATGAGTGGGCCACTGCAATGTTGAATAGAGGTGGTTATAAAAGTTTCTGCTTCGAATGGATGCAGTTTTAGTGATTAAAAGGAGACGACATGTAATCTATCCGTTTTTGACGCTAGGGGTTAGAGCGCAAGCAAGGATGGGAGCCGTTTTTGCGGGATTGCATAGGTGGTAAGTGACGATTCTGAAGTGGCGCAATGGAGAAGGAGATGACAACCGTACACCATTATCTTACGGATAGCGAAGACAAGAGAGTGAAATTAAGGAGATGTACGTCTCACGGTGCTTCAGTATGTTACACCCCTTCGCGTGCGACGTCGCTCTGGCCGCAATGCGACGATTTTGATTCATCTGCAACACCCCCTCCCCCTCCTCCACAGCAGCAGTACACCAGCCGTCGATCCATACCTAGCATGTTGACTGCCCAGAGTTTACGGCAGAAATCGGATGTAAAGATACTATGTCGCTACTCGATAGAGGAAGGAATGTATTTTTTGGAGAGGTATTCCGGCAAATAAAGCAGAAGCGTTCCATTGAGAAGAAAGAAGTATGAATGCATGACCAATAATAATGCGTAATCGTCTGTGTTTTTTCTCATAGATGCGAACTATTTTGCGAAGTTTCAACGCCGACGCGCACTGCGAACGCGCCCAAGAGTAGCTACATTCCACGTCCCAGAAATGGACGCAGAAGCGAAAGTCCAGTACGACTCCAAATAGTTAACTCAGTCCCTTCAAGGTGACTACTTGAACCACATTCTGAATTTTGTTGCACTGAAACTGTTCAAATGCGTTGAATTCCTAGGGCTTTTTTTTCTCAATCATATTCGACAATGATCACCTCTTGCAGACTTTGTTGCATTTTAAAAACTTTACGCCATACCAGGATCGCCCTAATAGGCGGGTGTAGAGCAGTAGGAACAAAATTGTCGGGTCGCGGCGAGGGAGACGCCGCGCGCGAAGGAACTTAGCAGAATGCAGTGGCAAGTAAGAAATCCAGGAACAAAAGGACTAATAGTAGAATCATGCTATAAGTACTAATCGCATAAAGATTGAGCTGTATGAGGAACGCTAGAAATATTATAACGAGGCAAATGCTCCGCGACACCCGCGTGCGGCGGATTGATTACACTAAACCGTTCCTACTGCCTGTCTCCTTAAGTCCAAATACCCCGCGACACGTACGTGAGTTGGCGGTGATGGGAAGCGCGCTTCAATAAATGTATATCATGGCAATAAGACTGTTACCGTCGCTTTAAATGATTCATAGAACTGGAAGACATCGGCGACAGTTTGCAGTCATATTCCACTATTGCACCTTTTCAAAGTAGTTCTCATATCAACTACAGATCGTGCTCGAATGAGAGCTTCTTACTGCCCTTCTTCCCCTTCTGTCTGGCCGCCACCACACTATAATGGTCATTCTCCCATTCTACAATATTGGCTCACTCGCACATCACAACATCCAGTTCCTCGTTAGGAGGCAAACATGTCATGACCCCTCTTCCTTTTTTTTGAGCTCTTGTTTATTCGCCAACAATGAGCGGAATGTGTTTTGTTAGCACCAGCCCAGTCTAGCGTCGCCTTTATATACATTTTTGGCCGAGTAGGCGGAGCTTACTGTGCGTGTGCGCTGATTGGCGCGCACAAGATCGATAATCACGGACATTGGGGTTGTTCTCCTTTGACTGCGATTTAGTTTGTGACGAATGCAGCAAAAGGTACTAGTAGATATTGGCTAATGAATGGGCCAATGGAGGGAATTATGTCAATGGGTAAAACTACGTTTCCAAAGCACATCACCTCAGTAAAAGCGATCGAGATGCGTCAGCAATCAAGGGAGAACAGCTGCAGAAGTTCATTCGCTCACGAAAAACCACTGAAAGCTTTTGTCTTTTTAGCTGCGTATTTTGATAGAAGGAAGCAGCCTCCTGAATGAAAAAAACAGTCGTGGAAGTAGCAGAACACCACATCTCCGAAATTTTCAAAACGGAAATCCCTCGGGTCTCTTTTTAGATAGATGGCAACACTGAGTGCACCCAATACAGACGCGTTATTTTCAAAAAAACAATGGTATATAAGACCCACTACCATTTCGTATTTGAGTTACATTTTGTATTTAGTCGCGTCAAATGTCCACAGCCCGGACAAAACGAGTTAAGCAGAAAGAAATGATCTCCAAGTCGAGTCTGGTGAAGTGGCAGAGAGAGTTTTTCCGTGCATTTACACATCTCTTGCATCCCACGTGAAATCAAGTTCAACATGTGGGTCTCCTGGATGTTCCTCATTGAAGCAAGAATGGGACTTGGGCGGGAGTCTGGAATGGAACAACGATCTTTTTTCGCTTTCTCCGCCATCGCACCTGCTTTGACTGAAGATTGACTTACAGAGGGAGAGTAAGAAGAACCTCTTCAAAAGTTTGCAGTGGTGCACAGACAACGTATTCCTTCCAACCATAACCTTATATGAACCCAAGTTCGCAATCGAGCGGCACATTTTTAAAAATATCGAGAAAATTGGGCTGCGCCCCAATGCTAAAACCGCTGCGCAGACGCGCGCGCCGATGAAGAGGCTCTTTCTGTTCTTATCGGTAGCATTCCCCTTGGCTGAATGGTTGCCTCATTTGCTTAACTCGTTGCACTTCAAGAGGATCGCAAGTAAGGCATCAAACTAGATATCTT